ATCCACAATGTAAACTAATGTGGAACAGAGGCAGCAATCAGACTGACGGACTGGTTCAGAAATGTTCTTAATATAAATGTGTAAATGATGATATGTTGTGCTATGCTAATGAAAGCATGATAAAGTCACACTAAATTTACAGTTTGAATTAACCGCTTTCTTTAGTTTGTGTAGGAATTGTTTCAATGATGCTGTATCATTTCAAGGCGGACTGGCTTAAAGCACTTGTTTTTCTTTCTTTTTGGGATCGTGATAGCATATAAATCAAGGGAAGCATTTGAATTATAATGAAAACAAAAAACAATAGAAAAACACAATGCCACACTGCATGATAAGCTCTCACAAAGACAACCACTTAAATTCAAATCCATCAGTTATTAGAAATTAAATGGACTGCTTAATGTGGGCACAGTAAAATTTTAACATTAAAAAAAAATGCATCCATGCTTTTGCCCAGTGCCATCTTCCTCTAAATGGAAGTGTGTGCTTACATGATACTGAATTGCAAGAATAGGATTAAAAATGGAAGAAGACTGTTTTGCAAGAATTCACGGGAAACCGAGTGCAAGAGCTTCAGGTTAAACTACCTCATGGAAGATTTTTGCAAAGAGGCCATCAAGGACAGAATAAAGACATTATTAGCAAGAAAAAGAGATGACGTTGTTGAAGACGGTGAAAAGAAAAAGCTAGTGGAGGCAACAAGTGAACTTTTTTTTTTTTTGCAGAAACATTCAAGTTACAGTTTTTTCCCCCAAATATACTACATTATAGGCCTACAATGCTGGGAGTATTGCCTTATTTGACAGGGCGCCTACTTACTGTACTACACTACAGATTTTCCAAGTAAGGAAGACAAATCTACAAATCTACCAAAACGGTGTTTGAAGAAGAAGAAGAAGAAGAAGAAGTGTGAAAGAAAGTGAATATGACTCTAGTTGAGCCAGCTGTTCTTCATGACCACGTATGCTGTGGATCAGGCTGGTGAAAAATCAGTGGCTATTTCCACAGACCAAGACCTATACAGTATTGCTGTATGCTTACATCTTTGAGACACACACACACACATTTAAAGGCCATTAACTTCCATGATTCTAGTCCCATGGTGTCCTTTTACTATCCAGACAATAACATATAAGGTAAGGACAAACTGGGACACTAAACACCCAACCGTTTCGACGAGAAACACCAAGGACATAACTGGGTTAAGAGCCACAGACACACGGAAAAGAAAAAAAACAAATGGCTGAATGGTTTCACTTTTTCTTTTTTTTTTTTTCCTTTTTTGTTTGTTTTGGGTTTTTTTTTTTTACAAATGGACGCATAAAATTCAAAAGTTAAATTACTGTACATAAAAAAGAAAGTCACAAAACACTAATAGTGCTGGTTGATGAGTTAATTACAGCT